GCTAGGTTGTTGTGCGTATTTCCGGAAAACATTAAATTTAGATAAAAGTTTTTAAAGAAGTTTAGAGTTTACGGAAAACAATAAATAAACTTGTTTGTTTCGAAAGTTTATTTGTATTTTATTCATTTGTTTCTGAAAACACAAAACATATTACGAGTATTACGAAACACAAGAAAACACAAAAAATTTCAGTGTTCAGTAAAGTTGAATTCCTATATTGACAACCATATATTAGCTCATCTTGCCAAGTTGGAGTCTCCTGGTTCGAAATTTACCAAATTGGAGATGATAGAAATTAGCAGTATTTTTAACGGTAAATTTTTTAAATTTTAACTCTTAAAAAATTTTTTAATAAATTTTTTAAGGTTCCATGACTCAATTTTCGCGACTGACTCAGCATGCTCCATCTATGGCAAATGATATAACAACGGTAAATTCTAAGAGAAGTGACTTATTATATCTTTATTTATTTTTAAGAGGCTTTCACAAATAAATAATTGGCCTAGAAGCGAAACTGATAAAACAAGTTTAGCGCAAGTGTGTATTTTTTAAAAATTATTTTAAGCATTTAAAAATCAGATTTTTAACAGAAAATTTTTTTAAATTTAGGCTGAACAGAATTTGATTAATAGAAAAGACATTCTTATTGAAATGTTTAAATTTCTTAAAGTAAAAATTCTGGCAGCAACTAATATGTTGGAGATTACCAAATTGCCTTAGATAGTTGGTTCAACATTAAAAAACTAATGTAAAAAAATTTTTTTTAGTGATCTCTATCAATTTTAAACAAATTGCGAACAGATACGAGAATAATGTTTGAGTATTAATTTTGTAAAGGAGAAATTGTTTTAAGTTTGTTGACTTGACAAACATTTGTTTTGTTTGTGTGTTTTATATGTAAAATGTTTGGATAATTTTTAAAGTTTGTTGACAAACATTGTTGTTGTTTGTTTTAAATAAAGAATGTTTTTGAATAAAATTTTTTTAAGTTTGTTGACTTGACAAACATTTGTTTTGTTTTCCACAAACATTTGTTTTGTTTGTGTGTTTTATATTTAAAATGTTTGGATAATTTTTAAAATTTATTGAACAATGTTGTTTGCTTTGTTAGTTTTAAATAAAGAATGTTTTTCGGAAAAGTCTAAATTTGTTTTTGTTAGAATTTTGCTTGTTCCTTTCCGGAATACTCCTATTGAAGTGCTGTCGGTTCTCGGAATATTTTCGGATATTCCGAACAGAACCGAAAACCAACCGAAAAAATCCTCATTTCCGAACAGAATTTGATTTGGTTCTTCTCTTTTGTTCCAAAGCAACAACTGCTCAACAAGTTATAAATATTGAAGGATAATTTAATAAAAATTATTTTATTTATTTCTCACCCCTAAATAAAAAAAATTTCAAAAAATATCTTATAATTTAATATTTATTCTTTTAAATATTTTTTATACCAATTTTAAACCCCTTAAAATAAAAAAAAATAGTATTTTTGACTATAAAGACGATCATTATTTTGGCAATCTAAATTAGCCACAATTTCCTTAAAATTATTTTGGGGCTCCTCACATCCTTAATATTTTTATCCTTACATTTGTCCTTCAATAAATAATATCCATTATTTTGTTTTTAAAGTCAATTCTAAAAAAAAAATGTATCCAACATTTATTAGTAAGGTTGTTCTCCGTGCCTGAAATTTAGAATAACGTATTCTCTTAATAGAGCGGTCTTAATAGAGCGGTATTTTAAATCCCGTCTCAAAGAGCCGCTCTAGCAGAGACGGCCGCTCTTAGAGATACGGTATTTCCGAAAATTCCCAGATTCCCTAAAATTCTCGAAATTCGGGGAACCCCAAAGTAGGAGAATTTGAGAAAAATTTCTACCGACCCTCAGGGAAGATTACTTTAATAATTTAAAAAAATTTTTAACGCCCATCCATCCATCACCTCTGGCACTGTCTCCCCGAAAAGTTTCCTAGAGATGGTGAAGCTTTAATTGAGCATTGACGGTGAAAAACCCGGCACTATATGAAAGGAGGTCGATAATCGTTTTTTTTTATTACTTTTTTCCATTAGTTTTTTCCTTCCTTGATATGACAGAATGGTCAGCATTTTCCTCCTTGTTCTATTCCATTATATTCCCTGTGGCATAATCAAAAGAAATGATAGAGAAAAGAATTAATGGAAAGGAGAATGACTCAATACAGGCAATTAATACTTTCAAGGGTCTCCTGTTTTCTTTTTGTGTCGACACACAGACAGACAAAACTCGGACGTACTCGGACAGACAAACACAGACAGACTCGGACAGAAAACACTCGTGTTTTGTCTGTCCGTGTGTGTGTGTTTTTGTCTGTCCTCATTTGAATATGCCACAGGTAAAAAGAGTGGAATTGAACGAGGAAGAAAAGACTGACCATTATTTATAATTAAGGAAGGAAAAAAGTAATAGAAAAAAGTTATGAAAAAAAACGATTATCGACCTCCTTTCATATAGTGCCAAAAACCCTATTTAATAGGTGATTCTACCCTCTTTACGACGGGGAGCAACCAACAAGTGTTGCATCAGCCGGAACCGGAACTTTGCAAAATTAAACTGGAAACGGGAACAAAAAAATCCCGGAACTTCCGGCCCACCGGAACCCGAACCGGGACTTCCTGCGCAATACTACAACCAACCCTTAATTTTTTTAGAATGCTAAAAATATCGAAAATTCTTATTTTTACTTTATTCATCCTAACTTTATTCAACTACCAAATAAATTGTTATATCCTCGATTCGAGCCAATGGATAGCTCCATTTAATAAAACTTCAAGATTGCGAATGTTATGTGTTGATAATAATGAACAATGGGTTATGAGAGAAGGGGAAAATCCTTTAGTATATTTTTTATTTAAGAAATAAATTTTTTAAATTAAAATTAAATTTTATGAGTTTGTGGCTTTATTAATAAATTAATTCAAAAATACATTTATTCTGATTTTAAAGAAAAATACTCAAAAATATAAATTTTGATTTTTATGGGGGCTCATATCGTAAGGATAAAATAAATTGAGATATCGGGATTCCTGACCCAAAATCAAGATTCCTGACCGCATTCTCTGGACTCGAAACGGAAAATCCCTGATGTACATAATAAGGTTCAATTTTACGGGACGGGTAAATATTTTACGGGGAACGGGTGTGCGGAGTATACGAACGGAGGGTCTGGGGGAAGACCTTTCCCAGGAGAATTTCCTGCTCCTGGTAACCGCGGTTGAACCCTAGTACATACTTGATAGAGTAAATCGCATAGAAATTCTAATACATACATTGTGAAAATTATAAAACTCATAATACTTGGCAATTAAATCAAAATTTTTAGGTATTTTTGATGGCATAAATCAGAATTTTGAATTAAAAAAATTTTTTTAAACAATTTTAGGTAAACAACCTAATCAGGCACTATATAATGTGCAACCCAAAATACAAAATTGTTTTGAAAACAAAAAAATATGAAGGGCTTGTTTGGCTAATGCAATCATTAGCGTTTTGTAGTATTCTCGAATCTACACAGAAAAAGCTTCCATATGGAGGGCGTTCGCCTGAATTTCATAGAGATTTTCAAATGAATTTGTTGAAGGCGGCATTTGCACTTGTTTGAAATTAAAAAATTTTTTTCCTACTTTTATGGAGGAATTTTAAGTAGCCCCCTTTAAGTCCTCAACCTATAGGCAGTATTTGGAATTTTGAAATTTTCTCGTACTCGTAGCTGCCTAATTTTTTGCTCGTACTCGTACACAGGTATGAGTACAAATTTTGGTACGAGCTTCCAAACACTGCCTTATAGGTAATAGATGGTTGGTGTGTAAAAGACAACCCTGGTTTGGGTCCACCGCTTTGAAAATAACTTAATTAGGTGTTAGACATCTATTTTAGACAACAAGGATTTCACTTTTTAGAGAATTTCTAATAAAATCCTCTTTCAAAAATATAATAATCACTACTAGGTGTAAACTTAAATATTGGCAAAAAAATTTTATATAGATAAAAGAATAAATATATTTTTAAATATTGAGTACAAACGTTAGGAGCCTGAAAACTAGAAATCGGAATTTTGTTCCGTACCGTATTCCATACCGTAATACCGAAAAATACCGATACCGAAAAATACCGATGAAATTCAAAATGTTGCCGTACCGTATTCCGTACCGTATTACCGACTGTAATACCGATAAATACCGAGAAATACCGACAAATACCGATATTTTTCATCGGTACCGTATTCCGTACCGTATTTTTTTTTAATTTTTCCGTACCGTATTCCGTACCGTACTACCGATACGGAATACCGATAAAACTGAAAACCGATCTCTACTGAAAACCAATAATTTTCTTATCATATTCCTTCTATCCAGTAGATTCTTCGATTAAAAAATCAAAAATGGTTTCTAGAATATTCCCTCATGCTTTAACTTAAAGCTTAATCATTCCAAGTTATCAACTCTTGCAGGTATGTAAACGAACAGACTATATTGGCCGTTACCATCTTTCTTCATATGCTGAAGTATTTAAGGTAAAACCTCAATAATTATAAAATATCCGGATAAAATGGTCAAATTTCAAAAGGGTCAAATTACAAAACGCCCAAAATATTTTCAGATACTGTATGAGCGAAACAACTCCAACAGAAAACACGTTTGTGATCGGATGGTGCTACAAGAAGCTGATCTATTCAAACGATGTCAGGTACTAGACACGCAAGAAGAAGAGAAGCAGCAAGAAATGGAGCAATTTAGAAAAGTTTAAAATTCAGATTTAATTTAAAATTTGAATTTTAAAACCAGAATTGCATAGAACAAAATAGTAAAAAAGATGCGGGGCCAAATATGACAAAAACTGAGTGGTGGACAACTACTGTATTGAGCTCAAATAATTTTTTCACTCGATTCTCTCAATTATGTGAGGGAAGGCCTCGCTATACTTTTGACCAATTTATTGAAATTAATAGTAATACTAATGCTGGGATGGGGCAGGCATTGGCAAATGATATTCTTTTTATGAATGGAATTAGGTGATTAATAAATACGTATGGTCTAAATTGCTATGGTCACGTTAGGATTAGACTAAATTATACATTGTTGTGGCTCTGTTAAGTCTAAGAAGAATTGTGGAGAGAAGATCAAGTCCCTATTGAACTAGGTCCCTTTTGAATAAAGCCCTCTTGAACTAGGTCCCTCCTGAACAAAGCCCTCCTGAACAAGGCCCTCTTGAACTAGGACCTCTTGAACTAGGTCCCTTTTGAACTAGTGGAGGGAATTGTTCAGATTTGAACGTGTCCCTTCTAGGCGGGAAGGACTTCGACTCTCCTGCCTAGTATGGATGGTGGAGAGACATTTAGAGGACTGAGCGTACAGACAAATTGGAGGATCGTTCGGACTAAAACATAGGGTGGAGGGAACATATTCCCTTTGAACTAGGGGGATGCGGGGGTCTTTTACATATTAGAAGAGTTTGAAGTCAAGTTCGGATTAGAAAGTAGGGTGGAGGGAACCTGCCATCTTCGGACTATAATAATTTTTCAGCAAAAATATTTTTCAGCAATTATTTAAAAGCAAAAATCAAAAAGAGAAGTCTTCTTCCTTATTTGGTAATGAAAACACGCCTTCTACTTCAACACTTCCCCTTAGCCTCAATTTGGGTAGCCCCAAGAATTGAAAAGGCTTATAGATGCAAAATGCTAGCTGCTAACGAGCAATTTCAAGAGGACTATTCCGAAAATTTGGTTAATACAGTTATCGAAAATTCGAATTATTTAAATGGAAGTAATAATACGAATAGTTTGAATAATTCTTTTGGGGGGTTTAATGAAGATATTTCTTCAACTGAACAACAAACAGCGGTGGTTTATGAATGGAAAAGTGAGGACCATCAATTCTTTGCTGAAAACTGTCCTATTGCTGATGGGGGGTTTACTGATGAATATTTAACTGAAGAGACTGTTAGGTGAATATTTTTAAATTTTATAACAGGGTTATGAATCGGAACCTTGCATGGAACATGCTCCTTTCTGACTAGATAGTATTGTGAAGAAATACCCCCTCTGTCCGTTTGTTTGTTTCCTTAGGCCAGAAAAATTTCTACTTAATATATAAAATTTCCTTGATAATTTTAGATAAGATTAAAATTTAAATGAAATACTTGTTGAATTCGTCGATTCGTTAGTATTTTTGAATGGAGCAAATTAGGATGCTCCAAGTCTTTTTGCCACAGCTTGATGAAGCAAACCCAATTCTAACGTTTTGAGTAAAGCCTAACACCTTAATCACTCGGACAATTGTTCATATAAGAGTGATTCAAACAAATTGAACACATTTCTTTGTATGTTTCTAGTAATACAAAGTACGAGTTTTGCTATTACGACTACTTATGAACACTGTTAGTAAGTAGGCAAAAGGGAATATGCTTCCCTGGGCAGGGAAGTAGGTAACTCTTGATAAGTCTGACTCTTGATAAGTCTGCAAAATTTTAATACAGGGTGCGGCAAATTAAGCGCGCGTTTGTTTTTTGCCATAACTTTCTTCAATTTTAATGAAAATTGATAATTCTTTTTTTGTTTTATTCCCAACACTTTAGGAAACTTACTGATACCAAAATTGCTTTTTAATTTTAAGTTTATTCTGAGTAAACTTCCCTCAAAGTTTGAGCAGAATTTTTTGGATAAAAATTGGCCTAGATAAAAGGCTGAGATTCTAATATTGGAAATGTTTATATCATTCGAATCAGCTCTTCATTCTGATTCGAATGACATAAAAATCATGGGGCTACGACAAAAATCGAATGAGATACGGTCCTCTGAATTATAAATTAAAATAATTTTGATAAAAATAAAATTTTTGTGTAAAATTTTCAAAAATGAGATTATAAGCTATTTCGATGCTCCTGGACGAGATGAGTCGTTTAGTACCAAAATCATTTGTATTGAACGATTTTGAACGAAGTTATGATCAATTAAACTTTGGCATAAAAAATGTTTTTAAATTTTTCAGACGTCCGAACTCGATTATCTTTGCCAACAGTGAACCAAATTTTTAATATTTGGTATCATCAAGTTTCCTAACGTGTTGGGAATAAAACAAAAAAAGAATTATCAATTTTCATTAAAATTGAAGAAAGTTATGGCAAAAAACAAACGCGCGCTTAATTTGCCGCACCCTGTAATAATAATTTTTAGCGATTTTTCTTGGCTAGCTTCCCAAGCCCGTCTTGGCCTAGTTATTGAAATAGGCCTTCTATTTGGCATTGTATTCAACACAACAATACTTTCCGCCCTTCTATACCAAATTAGACACAATTTATCAACAGCAACAATTTTATTTATTTTCAATATTTTATTTTCCAATGTTTTGTTTGTGGCTTCTTTTGTCTGTTTATTTTCTAATATGTTATCTGACAGTGATTATCAACAAGAAAAACCGAATGAGGATGTAAGGAATGTTTTAGTGAAAAGAAATCCTTATCAGACAGAGAACTTCCTCTCATATTGATCATAGAAATTTTTTTTGATAGTCTAGGATCATTACGAACTACATAGGATATAGGGTGAAGGGAACGTTCCCTTCACACTAGGAAGGAGGTCCATGTACACTAGGAAGTAGGTGCATTTACACTCGGAAGTAGGTCTATTTACACTAGGAAGGAGGTCCATTCACACTAGAAAGTACGTTGCCTAAGTTGTAGAAGATTGACTTGGATTGTCCTTTCACACTAGGATGGAAACTGAAGGGAACGCCAATTTGTTATAGGAGGTTGGTGAAGGGTCATGCCCCTTCACACAAGAATGTAAGCTGAAGAGACATTCCTTTTGTTTGTGAGTTTAGCTGAGTATGCCCCTTCGGACTAATATGTAGGCAATGGAAGGGCCGGGTTACCCTAAGCCTGATACACTGCCTTTTTTGACTCGAAACCCGATCTGGAGATTGGAATTCTCTAGGAGATAGTCTGGAGACCTTCAATCCTTTGATTAAATAAAATTCTCCTCCCCTCCACTCTTTCAGCAACAACAACAAACAACATCAAGCTCAACTGATGATGATGAACGACCTCCTTCTGCTGCTCTTTATATTGGGTAAGTTCTTCTGATCTAAAATCATTTGTCGTTGTTTAAAGCGAAATGCTTCAACACCATTTATTCAAACCTTCAGAATTTTTGAAGAACCTGCTTCAAGAGACTTTGCTTTCACTTGCACAGAATGGCTCTCTTTTAGGGTTGACTCATCTTCTTGTACTCGTTCTACTTGTTATTAAAAGGCGAGAAATTTAAAACATAATTGAAATTAAATTTTCAAAATTCCAAAATGTCAATTTACAAAATATCCAATTACAAATTGCCCCATGACATAATGTCAAAAATATAAGTTTATTTCGTAAAATTTCATAATGAGTATCATCAGTAATGTGGAAATTCCAAAATTTTGCCGGTTTTAGTTCCGGAACTGTAACTGGAACCATCACTGCTGAACATTATGATTAGGGTTGCCAAAATAAACTGACTTGGTCCGAAAGATTAAGTCAGGCATATGATATTTGGCCTGAAGAAGACTCCTACGGCCTGACTCAATAGAAACAAGCCCGAGAAAATGCCTCGACTGCTGGCACTACCCAAAAGCGACCCAAAAGCTCTAATTAGAGCTACCCAAAAGCTGGCACTACCCAAAAGCGACCCAAAAGCTCTAATTAGAGCTACCCAAAAGCTGGCACTACCCAAAAGCGACCCAAAAGCTCTAATTAGAGCTACCCAAAAGCTCTAATTTTGGCAAAATTGGAGACAAACTTTCCAAAAAATAATTACTATTAAAACGTAATCAAGCTACAGTGATTTCAATTTTTAGAGGATTTATTATACAATCCTCTTTCAAAAATATAAGACTTAGATATAAGGATAACTTAAATTTTCTGAAAAAAATTTTTCATAAATAAAATAATAAATATATTTTTAAATATGAAGTAAAAACGTTGAAGAATTTACTACTACATATTTACTTAAATAAAAATCTAACAACAAGCTTTTATATTTTAAGAAAAAAATAACCTCAAAAAAATAATAATTTCGAAAATCGAAAACCGAAAAATATTTTTTCAAATGGAAAATAATTTGTAGGTATTTGTTAGGCTCTATTTGATTTTATGGGTCCAATCGAACTTTATGAGTCAATCTACCGTAATCCCTCATTATGATAGTGAATAAAAAAAATTTTTTTATGAAAATTTTAACAGATCTATGGACGGAAAAGGAATTCGGCTTTCTAAACGTTATGTAATTTGCCTATTTTCTTGCGTCTGGTTTGTACTAATTATCTCGCATATTTCATTTTCTGCTCTGCAATATTTTGCTGTTTCTGAATTACATCGTCTTCTGAACCAGTTAAAAACGACTGTTGGGTTTTATCTTTGCAATCGGTAATTGAACTTGTATTAGTAAAATGTATGACAAGCACTTTTGGAACTTTCAAACTAGAAAGTCGGGTGTAGGGAACATCCTTTTGAACTCTGGAAGGTGTCCCTTAGCAATAGACTGGTTGGTACATTCTTTCACATCCTAAGTATGCTGAAGGGTCTCTTCGCTCTAGAAAGTGTCTGGAGGAACATGCCTCCTTTCATACTAAAAATGAGGGAGCATGTTTGAAGGGGACAGTCCCTTCGCTCTAGGAAGTGTCTGGAAGGAACATACTTCCTTTCATACTAGAAACGAGGGAGCATGTCCCTTCGCACTAGAATGTAGTATGAAGGGAACATGTACTCTTGTAGGACATGCCTCTGTAATAAAAGTACTGAAGTGATCATCTTATACTAGTTAAGGAAATGGACATGTCCCTTCGCATTAAGAACTAGCCCAGAGAGTTTTAGCACAAACTTTTCTCATTTTACAGGAACGATCGCTACTCCGTATTTAACGAGATTGGAGAGCGTTGTGATTCAATCTCCGTATTCCACGATTTTGGACATTTTTTACTTAGAGGGCATACTTTATTTACTCTTTTCTTCCTTTTTGTTTCAATAGCAATATTTTTGGCTACAATATTTTGCCATTGGAGAGTGAATTTGCAACATGATTTTTTGAATTCGAGGAATTCAGGGAACAGGAGAAAGCGGTGATTTTTTATACAGAGAGGATTCAACCAGAAAATAAAACCTTTCTTTAGCGAGCACAGCCCTTATCGTCGACGTGAAACTCTTTTTAATACGCTACTCCTTTCTCTTGGGGCATTTTTCATCTCTGTTTCTGGCCGAAGCTTTATAGAGATTGCTGTCTTTTGGGTTAGTGATAGGAGGGATGTTACTCGACTAGCTGCTGCTTATCAGGTGAGAGAGCCCTAGATTTATTAAATTAAAGTTTGTAGAGAACATGGCTCTTCAAACAAAGATTAGGCAAAAGAGAACCTGCCTTTTCAATTGAGAAGTAGGCTCGACTTAATAGGTTCTGGTTGGAGTAGTGAGAAGTATGTATAAAGGGAGTCGAGTTTTGAGCGGAGAGAGCAAGCGAAATGACACTACATGTTCCGTTCGGTCTAGTAAGTAGGCTGGAAGGTCATTTAAACCTAAGAAGCTAGATGGTAAATTTATTGGAGAACTTGCTCCATAAGTAATCCATAAGTAATCAATCATGTGAACATGTACCGTTTTCTTGTGGGAACATGCCCTTTTGAGCTAAGAAGGGAGAGTCCTTCGTAACTAAGATGTGAGAGATTTTTTCCTGGATCATGAACTCAATAACACCACTTTTAGGGATTAGGTATCTGGGCATTAAATAAAGTAAAGTATTTCAGTTGTTCCGAATCGCTGCGTTTATTGATCCATTACTGAATCCACTCTTAGTGGCTGTCAGAACCCCTGCCATACGTCGAAAGCTCCGTCACCATTTTTATTTAACCCTACAAATATTTTGTGCAGTATTTTGTCCTTGTTGGAGAAAACAATTACTACTACCAAAGCACAAGAGGGGAAGAGATTCGGTTCTAGTAGCGAAGCGAAGACGCCAGACAGCCTCACTCCCCTATGGTAGACCTATTTCCATGATGGCTGCACGTCGCGCTTCAGTTGGCTCCTATTTGAGTTTTAATGGGTCTGAGACTGGAAAATGTGGCAATTTTTGGTTGCTCTGCTCCGGAAGGGTGAATAAATGATCCTTTTTAAAAAAATTTCGTTCCTAGTTTATTCGCAACAAATTCCAGCGCAAAGACAGTTGTGCTACTCAAGTGAATTCTGTGGTGTGAAATTAGAAGGAAAATTTAAAAATGAGATTACTTTTGGGAATGATTCAAATTTGTTCCTTTTTTGGATATTAAACGCTCCCCTCATACCATAATACCTTGGAATATTTTCAAAAATTATTAATTGGCATTATGATATTTATCAAATAATATTTTATTTTGAATATTTTAGTTCAATATTTCGTTGATAAAACTGTATTTTGCTAATTTATTTTCAGATTTATGGCGCGGGATCCACCTTAATTCATCCTGATTTTGGAAGGATTTTGGAAGGCCAGTTTGGCTAGTCACATAACTGGCCGATATGCCAGATTTTTGGAAGGCCTCAAGTATTAGTAAATCCTCAAGTAAAGCAAAGCAATCCTCAAGTAAAAAACACACATTGTCACTCAAGCCCGCTTACAACCACTCTACAATAGATCGGTCTACAATAGAAAAAACTCTACACTCTACAAAAACTCTACACTCTACAAAAACTCTACACTCTACAATAGAAAAAAAAACAATAGATACTCGATTTGGATCCAGGAAAAATCCAGATCCAGACCGATCTCTCACTCTACATTATTTTCAACATTAATCAAGTTTTTAATTTCTGGTTGACATAAAATTAAAAAATTGAAGTGTGAACAAGGTACTGAAAATCATTCTTAATTTAATGTATCAAGAATCAAAAATTAAAATCTTTGATTTTTAGTTGTTAATTTTTCTTAATTAGGAGTCGTCATTAAATTTTTATTGAAGAATGGCCAATCCAAAATTTGAGCCAAAAATTTTGATTTTTGGTCAAAAATAGATTTTAAATTTAAAATTTTTAATTTAAACGAGATAAAAATTTAAAAATCCCCAAAACATTTTTTAAAAATTATTTTTAATTTTTATTAATTTTTGGCTTATCCTCTCCCCATGCCATCGAACGTCATTGCTTTCAATTTAAATTTTATTTTATTTGTTTATTCAGCATTTTTAAATTTTTCTTTTCATATGTAGGTATTCAAGCATGTTGCTTATTTTATTTAAATTAATTTTTAAATATTGAGTATTTTAAAATAAAATTAAAAAAAAAGATTTTTTATTAACGATTTTTAAATAAATTTTAATTAAATAGTATGTTAAAGAATATATTTAATTTAATTATTTTATTAATTCTGTTGAATTTTGTATATGGACAAAATAAAGGTATTTAAATTTGATTCTATTAAGATTCTCCCTCAAATTCAAAAGATATACATGTTCCGTTCAGACTATAAGGTAGGATGAAAGGGAACGTGTTCCGTTCAGAGAGAAAGTAGGCTGAGGGTAACATGTTCTCTTCGGACTAGAAGTAGGCTGGAAGGAACATGTTCCGTTCAGACTAGAAAGTTGTCGCGAAAGGCGACTTATCTTTTTACCATTTTGTCCCCTGTCTTTTTATTAAAAATATTTATTTTTAATTTTCCCCTTTTAATCATGCTTATTCATAGAAAAACGCCTACTTTCTCAAATTCTTTAAAATTCACTTTGTACTTTTGTGAAAATTCTATTTTTCTTTAAATCCGCCCCTTTTTTCTGACTATATATAATTTTGGGCTTTCTCAAATATCCAGAGCTCTTCTAGAATTTAATTGTGTTTAAATAAAGTTCCTTCTTCTGTTTTTTTAAAAGTTTTTAATTTTAAATAAAAGTTTGTTTAAAATTAAATTAATTTTGTTTAAAATTAATTTTATCTTGTTGGGAATTTCTTTCCCAACAAGTGGTGCCGCTAACAGGGAACAAAATGGTAAAAAGATAAGTCGCCTTTCGCGACAAAATGGTAAAAAGATAAGGCTAATGGAATATCTCCCATTATCCGTCATACTATAAGAATTAGTATCCTTTCTAACCTAAGTTAGGCTTGTATGCTCCGAGTGCACAAAGCGGCATCTTGGTATTGGCAAGAAGCATTTTTATATTAAATTATTCTTATAATTATACAGGAAAACCAAAAAGTAATGGAAAAATCTATCAGACAAACATAACAAACTTTTTCGATCAATCATATACGATCAAAGTATCAATAGGTAAATTATTTCTTATACAAAAATTAAGGACGAATCCAAATTTTGCTTCAGTTCAATCTAATGCTGAGTAAATAATAAATCCAATGATGGAAAAGGACGGAAAATAACATACGGAAATACGAAGCAAAAAATCTTATTTAAAGAGTACATCAATGAGTAATTTAAACAAATGAAAGGGTAGTTTCCGGAAAGAAATTTAATTTTAATTGAATATTTCATAGTTAAAACTAGAGTTGCACGAGATCGAGATTTTAGAAAAAATCCGAGACCGAGATTGACCGAGACTCGCATGACCGAGACCGAGACCGAGATGCAAAATTTGACCCGAGACCGATATCGAGATCCGAGATAAACCGAGATTTCTCAAAACTTTTTTTATCCACCAAAACCCAACCAAATTAATTAAATACCATCCAAATCATCATCAAAATCATCTGTGTCATCCAGGGTGGCCTTTTCCAAACCACTAAAATAGGGCGCAGCCACTCAAAAATGGGTAAAAAATAGGGCGAAATTGGTCAAAAATAGTGCAAAAAATAGGGAATTATTTTAAAAACGTAAAAAGAATTAAAATTTAAATAAAAAGCTTTATTCCGCATGTTCTCCACTAGTTTTAATTTAATTGATCAGATCAGGATTAAGCTGTTTCTAAAGAAATATATTTCGAAAATTGTAAATCGATAAAGGTTAAGAAGCCAGATATCTTTCCTTTTTAGCGCCGCATGTGAAAATTTTGAGGGCTGTCGGTTCTGGACCGAACCGAACCGAAGAACCGATAATTTTTCGTGTCGGATACGGTTCAGTTGCGATATCCGAAAATTTTCCAAGAACCGACAACCTTACTCTTGAGACTTTGAATTTTGAGAACCTAGTATTGATCAGTTCTCTAAGGGTGGTGATCTAATGTCTTTCGGACGGTTTTTTCGTCTGGGACTGGTCACCCAAAAATTTCATTAAAAATTTCTTTTGTAAAAATTGAAGTATATTCGTCTAAAATTAATTTTTTACATATTTAAGGTACACCCCCTCAAATTTTTAATGTTCTACTGAGCACAGGGAGTGCTGATTTTTGGGTGACTGCTTTCAATGTCTCGACAAATAAGCCTCGGTTCTTCCCTCAAAATTCTTCAACTTTCTCTTACCCGAACCCCCAAAAGTATTTGAACCTTCCCAGTATACAAGGAATTGTTGGTGTTGATACAATACAGGTTTGGTTCAATCAAAATTGGATAGGTCTGAAAAATTTTCTGAACTGATATTGAACCATGGCCCTGACGTATTTTAAAAATGGGAGGGCGGAAGAAAATAAAAAAACGGAAGCAGAAGAGAGCCCATCTCTGCTTTGAACATTCCTTTGTGGTTACTAGGGGGAGCAGGCCAACTTATCGCGAGCCCAACTTACCGCAGAGTTATAACTTCGTTCAGAATTATCACATCCACGACACATTATCAAATCCGGGACACCATGGCATGGCTTGATGCGCCTCGACGAAATGAATCGAACCAAGGCGTCCCGGATTCGACCATTTTGAACAAAGTTATAGATCTGTGGTAAGTTGGGCTCGCGGTAAGTTGTGGTGTACCAGATTACTGGGGCGGTCTACCTGGAAATACTACAATAGCTTGGATTAAGCAGCTTCCCATAGCTAAAGAGAGGGCTAACATCCGATTTGGACTTAAAGCTTTCAGCAGATAATTTTCAGACTGGGAGAAAACTGGTATAAATCCTAATTTTTTTAAGTTTGCCGGATTGAACCAATCTAAACTAGAATTCAGTTTTGCTGATATAATTGATAATCAAACACTTGCTCAGCCTTTTGATGGTGTTATGGGGCTTACATTCCCTGAACTAAGCAAGTCGGCTACAATAAATCCACTCATGGCTGCTATTGATAATAGT